TCATTTAAGATGTAATTAACTATAGGGGCTTGCCCTTATAGGGAGCTTTTCCGAACCCAGCTTAAAATAAACCCTATTTAATTCTTCTGTATTAAATAGGGGAACTTGTCGGCAAATAAAACGGTTTCGCAGACCAAACGGATGTCATATCTTTCTTAGTTTATTTGATCGACCCTCACCCTCAAATCTTGTGTTTATCCCTCGGGATAGATACAAGATTTGAGGTTGAGTGCTCTTTCAATTAAACTGTGAAAAATATGAGGTCAGTTTGATTTCATATTTTTCTAAAATTATATATATATACGTAAATTAAAAAGTCCTTCCGAAGCGGGCGACGGGATTTCGATTCCGGCGACCGACAGCTTCTTACGGGCGACCCCCAAACATTAACTCTTCCCCTTTTAAGCGCCGACATGAACATAATTTGAGAATGCAACACACGCAAAATGGACTTAGAAAGCATCAAGTAGCACCAATTTAGCTCTGTGGCACTGTTTATAACAATCTAATAATTGCAGTTGCATATGCACCTATGGATATAGGGAGAAATACCAATGACCGGAGCTCCATGATTCATGTGCAAGAATGGTCTCTAAAATATATCTTTTTCAATCTTTGGATCTAAGTTCATCTGTAGCTATGCAATGATGAGACGTACAATCATGCTCATGTTCAACCTCTTCATTGTATGTATGCTCAGCCATTTAATGTGGAGAAGTTAGCATGTTTGTTGCAGTTATTGGGGCACGAGAAGTTAGATAACAATGATTGAGATTTTAAATTTGCCATTTTTGTTTTCTATTGATCTGATACGGATCATTCATTACACTCTCATGAGCTTCATCTTACAAATATGGAACCAATAAATACTCAGTAAGTTTTTTCGTAACTTTTTCTATTTTCTGTTTTTTCTTCATATTTCACTGCTTTTTTGCTATTTCGATCAGTTCTCAAGTTTCATGACTAATGTAATGCTTTTTTCTTCAAGTGTGCATTTGGCCAGGGAACTTATCGGTAATAAAGATCTTGAATATTTGAATTTTTTTTAGATCAATAAATACTTTGATATTAGTGCAACTGTATCATATCTATTTATTGCTGTACTGTTAAAATAAATAATTTTATAGGAATTTAGTCATATGCTATATTTTACGTTACTAAGGTATGCAGGTCTTAATATGAATGAGAATAAATGTTGAATAATATTGCTGCATTTATTGTTGTGCATGTTTGTTTTCTGTACTTTGGAGGTGCCTACCTACACTAATGTTCTTTTAGCATTTCTCATCATTTTCTGATGTCATAGATGTCTTTGGTTTTTTTTTTATTTTACAATACGCTAAAGCATTGTCTTTCTAGTTTCACTGATGTTTTATTAGGTGGTTAATCTCCGTTTTTTTTCCATTTTCAGGACGAGATTCATGAGCGAGAGAGGTTTTGTGATGTATTGCTGGTAATTCTCAGGTAGATGATTAGTTTATTATCACTGTACATTTTATATCCTGTTCGTTCTATGAGTATTATATTATAATTCAAGGCTTTTGCAAACCAATATTGCCTATTTAGATATCTATTGTTTGAGTAACGCATTGAGCTTTGTTAAAATTGTGCAATTGACGATTAAATTAAATGTTCAATAAATTTGAGGTCATTTTTTGTCTCACCATATTTTGTTCAATCACAAGAAAATGAGCGTGTTATGTGTTTTAGACATGGACGATGCAATCTTGTACATTTATGTTTTTTATTATGTAGTGATTGTTTGGGGAGTCAACCTTTATTATGGGTTGTGATTCCATGCTCAATACTTAATTTTCTTCTTTGTTATTACCTCTCTCATTATTCTTAGGTCATATACTTTTTTTTTTAATTATACTGCCAAAGTTGGAAGAATGTTTCTAGTCTCTTTTAGATGTTATGATAAAGATAGGTCTCATAGCGGTAAACTATGCCGGTTTCTTGTCTACAATTTTGCTGACATTTTATTCTCATGTTTCACTGAAAACAAGCTAATGGTGTAAAATTGTTAGATACCTTTTCTTCCACTTTCTAGCTCAAGAGCTTGTAATTTTCGAAGCGGGAATGAACAATGTGACAGTAAAATTCAAAATTTCTATTTTATTCCCTATCACTAACAATTTAAAATTGAAATAAATCGACTGAGTCAGTAGCGCTTAGATGAATATTACATAAGAAAATTATCAATATAATTATTTTCTTCTAGATTTGATTACACTTTCTATCAATGTTTTCCCTTCAGCCACTCATTTTCTAAGAAAAAGCTTGTTCCTGAAAATGTTAATTTGACAAAATAAATTAACTTAGTGGGATGCTCATATTTTAAAAATTACAAGCAAATTAAGGAATAATTATATAATATACATGCTAGTTAAAATTATCAAGTCAATATAAAATAATTTAACCATTAAAATATATGTTATGGTTCTTTTTAATTTGAAGTCACCAGCTTGTCTAAGTTTGTTTTATTATTCTCTTTTCCAAATAACTTCTTTCTTGCACCATCGAAATGCTTCGCAGAAGAAGAAAAATTGATAAGGGAGAATATGACGAAGCTAGACAAACGAAAAATAAAAAGAACTTAGAAAAACTTTTATAAAGTAATCTTCGTATTATAGATCAAGTGTGTATACTCAAAAGAGATCAGATTAAAACACTTTTAAAACATATCCATGAAGAAGATCCTATCTAATTTACCCACATATAACTAGAAAACCAAAATTTATATTTTTGTTATGGGATCAAGTGAAACTCCACTCGTTAGTTAATTACATCTTGGGAAATACTAAAAAATATTCTCGATTAAAAGAATCTTGCTTATATTTTAATATTTATAAAATCATTCCAATTCTTCAAAGATGTACCAAGCCATAAGGATAGAAGACAAATCACCGTATCCCTCAAAAGAGGCCCCGTGAATCAACCTCAACGATGTGTCAAATGAATGGAATGTGCTCAAATGGGGTATATCAATAAATGAGTAGGGAAATCCTGAGTAGTGATAGCTGGGTCAGCATTCCATGATTCCATCATCCAAAACTATTAAGACTCTATGTTTACCTGATCGTGGAGGTAGTCGACTCAATCCGATTAGAGATCCCTTGTTAGCAACTTGTGTTGCATCGTCCAAGAATCCCGGTAGCCCTAAAGTCAAAAAAAAAAAAAAAGAAACATCTAATTTTTTATGATTCTATTTGGATGGAGTTAATAGAAGTGTGACTTCTAGCTGACAAGAAAACAACAATGAAGACTCTGGAATGAAAGAGAAAAGAGAATGATTTGGCTACAAAGATAAATCATTGTTGACCTCACTTTTATGAGAATATCAATTTGACACCCACAGATAAGACATGTCTTGAGCCACCTACATCAGCTTCGAATCCTTAGACATCTTTTTAAGGACTCAATGATCATCATGATTATTAAATTCATCCTAGGAGGAGGTTTACAAATATGGACCCCTTTGAACTCATCTAGGGTCCCCAAAACCCTAATATACCTTTTTTAGGCTCAAACCATAATGACACCCCAAAATGATTAGATTAATGTTGACAAACCCTAATTTGGTCACCACCTTGACTATTTGGTCAACCCTGGACCCAATGGTCATCATATTGACCATTTGGTCAACCCTGAACCAAATTGGTCAGCCCTGGACCCAATGGTCACCATATTGACCATTTGGTTAACCTTGACATCCAATTTGTCAAACTTGTTCATTTGGTCAAACCTAAGACCAGATTGGTCAACTTTGGTCAACTAGTCAATTTTGAGGCCCCATTGGTCAAACAAGTTCAACAGGTCAACATTAAGTCACCATGTCCAATCCTATACCCAAATAGGATCAAATGGTCAACGTCATGAGTTTGAGCTAATTAATTGATTAATTAAACCACCAAATTATCTCATGAAAGGCTTTAGCCCAAAGGGGTTTACATGAAAACCTATCCCATACATAAGGCCCAAGTTCAAGAGCTTCTTCTACCGATCACCAATGGGTCATCCATGACCCATAAACCTACTATGACACATTAAATATATGGAATTCATGAAGCAACATAGCCTGGCCACCTTGTTTGACTTGGGGTCAAAAAATCATCATGATGGGGAAAGAGATATGGCCCTATGGTAAAAATCAACGTCACCCACTTTGGGAGGAGAGAGATTGGTTGGATTAACATTTTGTCAACATGTCCCTCCACCTCACTAGCTCTCCAATAGGATAGTAGCCTCACTCTAGCCTCTTCCTCCACCATAATTAGGCTCATCATGACTCAACCATGGAAATAGGGGAACTGATAAACCTCAGCTGAAATTCTTCTCCCCTATCCTCCTTGAGCTTCCCTGCACCACCTCCCACATCTCTCAATCAGCTCCAAGCCTCCTTGCTGCCTCTAATGGCTATTTAAGGAGCTAACCCAAGAGCCCCAAAGAAGATGATGACATATAGAAGCCTCAAAGCCACTGACCACCAAAAGCAAACTTGCTCCCAATACTTTAGGCAACAAAACCCCCACCATTTCAGCATCTGAAACCTCATAGGAAGCCCAAATTTAAGATCGAAAATCCATGGCATTTTTTGGGTTTGACACAAAACTCTTCAAAACCCCAATCTAATTCTTTCTAAAGCTTCCCCAAGTTTTGTGAAGAAGTTCTCAATCTAAATTAGCCCTCCCCACACGCTCCAACCCATTGCTAGGTGAAATCATGGGGCTATTTCAGCTTGTACATAGCCAGGCCTGATTTCACTCCAAATTGAGCTAAGGAAGAGCTTCGCAAGGACCTTACGACCGTTCCAGAAAAGCTCAATTGAGGCCTCACCTCTCGAGACTTTGTATGGGTTTCTACCCTCATTTTGTGCTCGGTTTTCACACATTGTGAAGAGAATGATCAATCCATGGATATCTAACCGTATGGATTGATTCGTCTAGTCGAGATGAAGCTTTAGAAACGAACATTATCGAAATCTATTTAGAAACGAGCGAGATCTTGGCGTTTAAAGGTGAACGGCTCTCAGTTAATCGTCCCTCCGTGGGGATGATGAAACGATGCCTTTCATTTCCGTGTATCAGAAATGAACGACTGTGATCTATGCGCACCGCGGATTCGTTCATATGAAATAAACCAAATAGCGGACCACGCGGTTGCCCGCATGTAAAGCGCAGCAAATGAAACCGCGCCGCGTGGAGTTCGACAGATTCGAGGATCGTGCTGGCTCCTAGGTGGATAAATAAGAAAATCAGGATTTAATTAATCTATAAAATGCATAAAACCTTTAAAAATTCATTTTTTGACAAGAAAAAATCACAAAAATATGATAAAAATACATCTGGATTCAAAAAATGAAGAGAAAATTATAAAAGTGAAATATGAAATTAATAAATTATATTTAATTTTTAATTAATTAATTATTCTTTGGAGTAATTTAATTATTAAAAATTATTTACAAATCCAAAATTTATGAAATTTTTAATCTAATTAAACCCTACTTAACGTTAGGTTTAATTAATCATAAGCCCTAATGAGGTCGAATCGTAATTAGACCTTACCTACATTAGGTTTAATTAACCTATAAACCATAATTAGGTCTAATCCTAATTAGACCTAATAAATTTAATTAAACCTTATGTATATTAGGTTTAATTAACCATTAAACTTAATTAAATCTAATCTCAATTAGACCTAATTAAATCCTTAAGACAACTATATTAGGCTTAAGCAAGCCTAAATTATAATTAAGTCAAACCCTAATTTGACCAAATTAATTTTTAAACTTTAACTACATTAGGCTTAAACAAACCTGAACCCTAGTTAAGTCTAATCTTAATAAGATTTAATTAATACTTAAAGGCTCACTTACATTAGGCTTAAGTAATCTTAAATCCTAACTAAGTCTAACATAAATTAGACATAAAACATCCATTAAGACTTACTTAAATTAGGCTTGGTCCTTCACCCTAACAAAGTGCTAGCCAAATGTAGTGATTCCCCCTCCTGATCTGCTCCAAATTATTGTAACTATTGATCATCAGAAGGATACTCTTGAAGATGCCACCATCCTCGCAGGTAATATGTCACACAAAGGTCATGATGTAGATCCCCCATTTCCTTCTATGGAACCTCTTCTCGTGGGGTTTGAGGAGACATTTCATACTTCATCTGCCCTAGAAACTAACTTTGATGTAACGGGTGGCAAAACGTCTGCTATGTTTCTACCGCCTCATAAGGTAGAGCAAGTTGTTACTGTTAGTCAGACACATGAGAGCATGATATGCAACAACCACACCTGTCCGACAATTTTTAGACCAATCTACTGATCAGTTGAGTCAATCTTTGAATGATTAATGACATGTTTATACATTCAGGAAGAAGAAGAATGGATGCCTACTACCAAACTTGATGGATTGATATATTGGTTGTTTCGAGTAATGACATCAAACTTAACA